ACTTTTTTTTTTTGCTTTCATGTAACGGGAGACCCAGAGGCTGACAGTCCCTATTTTTTAAGCTTTCTGGAGTTTGAGGCTAAGGACATAACCGATGTATTTCACTATTTCCCCAGACTTTTCTGAGAGAATTGGGTTTAACATCAAGCATGTTGAGATTTGCCACTGTGGCTTAGAGATTTCATCATTATATGAAGGAAAACACAAAATTAGTTGTTTTCTCCACTATTTGCAAGAAATTTACCCCAATTTAACACCTCCTATTGTAGCCCAATTTATGTCTCCCAAAAAATGAAGCTCAAGGTGTAATGGAGAAAATAGTAAACCTTCTATCTTCAACCCAAACTAACATGATGTCAAGATGCACTGCTGACTTGGTAAAGAGGCATTCTCTAAAGTTAAAGACCACCACCCTCCTCCTGGCAGATGCCACCAAGGCCAGGTGGGACAGCTGGGAGGACTTGGCCTCAGAGTCCCTGAGTCAGCAGCAATTTGGTCCAGAGGGTCTCAGGCCTGGCATGCTGATGTCCTTGTCCCACCCCCAGACCAAGGGAATCAGGATCTCTGAGCCAGGGGTGGCTAGGTGTTTTTGTTAAAGAGCTCTCGCAAATCAACCTAATGAGCATCCATTCCTCTTATGATTGGGAAAATTGGGCTTAAGGAGGGGAGGTTGCTTGACCAAGGTCTCCCAGCCAGTTGGTAGGGAAACTCTGACCAGATGGTGGAAGTTTTTGACCTGAATTAAGTTTTGAATTTTAGAATATTGTTTTGCAATTCTGTAATGTTATAGTTGACCCTAAAAGTGACAGAAAAGGCCACAACTCATCTTCCCTTTCTGTGGTTTTTTTCTCCTACCTGACCCCTCAGCCTCCCAGTTACCCATGCTCCACCTCATGTTTATATACAAGCCTCACTTGAACATACTCCCCAGCCTGGCTTTCCTGAGCTGTGTCCCCTGCCTTGTGTTATATAAGTGAGCCAAAGACAGCCTCTGTGTGCTGGCCTCTTGCTTGTTGATTTCTTCACTGCAGGCTGAGACAAGATCCATTAGCTCAAAACCCCACCCGATGTCAAACTCAAATGGTTGCACATCTAATTGTTTTAAACATAGCCCAGATAAGTATATTTTTAGCCATTTAGAGCCTACCTGCTTAGCATACCTTATGAAACTGTATCCAGTATTTGCTAGCCAAGGATAAGCCCCAGGCCATAAAGACCCCAAACCACTGCTGCCCTTAGAAGCATTCTGATCCAGAGATTCCCCACTATGCTGCTGGGTGACATCACATGGACACGTAAGCCCCCTTTCCCACCCTGTTCTCCCTTGGGGGTCCCTTTGCCCTCCTCCCCTTCTGAACAGGCCCCTACCTCCACACTGTATAGCTTCTGGATAGAGGGACCTCCTGTAACGCATTCTTGCCCAAGCATCACCCATAAACTGTGCCTTTAATAATGCTCAGTCCCAAATCCCCTGAAGCCCCTACATCCTAGGCCTTTCTTCTAGAGTTTCTTCAAAACTTCCCTCATCCGAGTCCCCAGTCATCTTAAATTTGCTGGACAACCTAATACATTAATCCCTATTGATTTATTAGTGGCCAATTCATTTATTCAGCAAATATTCATTGAGCACCCAATATATGTCAAGCATTGTTCTAGGCCTTGGGATACAGATAAATATCCCTGCATGGGTTAAACTGATGTTCTAGCAGCATGATGTTGATCTAAAGCTTTTGCTCTTAGAAATAATTTTTAGAGCACTTTAAGCCAAAGTAAGGATATGTTAAGAGGGGAGGTTTTGGTATCATCCATGAGCTAGCGGGTAGAGAGTAAGGTCATAAGTTGGGTTTATAATTAGTAAAATACCTTTAATAAATATTCCAGAGCTTATGCACTGCATTTTTTAATTTTAATTTTTTTTTTTTGAATATGTAGGGTACAATTCAGGGTTAGCTACACAAATGTTCATTATGCAGGTACCCTTGATGCACTGCATTTTAAAGCAGCGCTTCTCCAATTTAACCTGCATGTGATCATCCAAGATCTGGTCAAAATGACCATTCTAAGTCAGTAAGTGCGGCATGAGACCTGGGAGTCTTTAATTTAACTCTCAAATGATGCTGATACTGCTGATATGTGCACCACACTTGGAGCAACCAGTCTCTAAAGCAGATTCTTTTGCACCTTGACTCTTTCGGGACTAATAATAGTAATAATAACATTACTGATTACCACAGACAGCTATTGCAAAAGTTAAATGAGGTAACTTACCCCTCTGCATTGATCTGAATTTAGAGATGAGGAAACTGAGACTCTGAAATGTTAACTACCTCCGTGAGCACACGTTGCACTCTAGAGAGCCAGACTGTGACTCCAGAATCCCAGAGTTCACCCACATGATGGCTTTACTACCTTACCTGTTAACCTGCTGCTTGATCTAGTTGGTGTGAGGGGTCAGAGCCTCGGGTGTCGACTTTTGCAACTTAAAGGGATGCTGTGTATAGAGCCTCACAAATGTTAGCTGCTCTTGTTACCATTAAGCCTTGGCCGGTTTTCTGCCTTGAACCTCCTCATTTTACCAGGATTGAAAATGTATCAACCATAGATGCCCTTTAATCGCTCATATAGCATCTCATCCATGTCACTTCATTCCATCCCTGTGTCATCCACATGGGGCAGGTGTGGCTACCCCCATTTTATACTTGAGGAAGAGATATTGGGTGACCTCATCATCATCATAGGACCTAAGATCTCAAGAAGACCCTGAACATTTTCTCCAGTTCATTGCCTTTTAGCCTGTTTAGTTTCTTTTTAACAATAAAATCTCTTCAAACAAAGGCCTCCAAGAAGTCCAGCTCGCAAAGCAGAGAAAAGCAGAGGGTTCTGGTGGGAACAGAGCTCAAGGGATAGCACCCGGCCCACTTAGCCTCTCCTCTGTGGGGCCCCCCATTTCTAGGGACTGTGGAGAGAGGAGTCCAAGGAGCTCTCTGGAAAAACCCAACCAAGGCAACACCCTTTTTGAACAAATGAGGAACAAGCCCCAAGGAAGGAGGTGACTTGGCTAAAATCAAACAGCAGGCTCATGGTCCAGGTGGAACCTGACTCTTGGACTCCAGAGACCAAATCCAGAATTCAACAGAATCTGAATAGGAGAAAGAGCCATACTCCTCTTTAGTCAGAAATCTGTTGGCTGAAACATGTTTGATAAGCGATTCTTATGGTCTTTCACTCTCCCACTTTATGAGACCAAATTCAATAATCTACCCATTAATATCATAATCTGCCATATGTTAATTTCATAATCTCTCAGATGGATGCCCCTTTCCTTATACACCGGGATGGAACAAGTCTTTTTGTTGTCTAGACATTTTGAAATTGTGAAATAAAATATACATACAGAAAACTGCCTATCCACATCCATACCAAGAAGTAGGATGTTGCTGGGATCCTAGAAGCCCCCAGATATCCCTGCCTGGCACTCTGCCTCCCAGGGGCCATCCTCCACATGACTTTCAGAAAGAGCACAACCTTGCTTCTCTCTGTGCTGTCTGTCTCCACATCTCCCCACACAACAGCTCAAAGTTGCCTTTGTTGTTTCAAACTTTATAGAAATGGAATCATTCACTGTGCATGCTTTTGTGATGCTTGTACCCACATGTTTGCAAGATCCAGCCACTTTGTTAGATGTTGTCAGCTGTGGTTCATTCATTTTCTTTGTCTTAGCGAATTCTCCTGTGATGGGTCTTTGGATTGTTTCCAGTAGAGGCTATTGTGGACAATGCTGCTTCATACCTTTCTGACGGGGAGATTTGCTCTCATGCTATCCAGAGAGAGTGAGGCCCAAGAAGAAAAAGGACTCTCAGAGGAGAAACAGCCAGGCCCCACCCCCAGGATGAGAAGGACCCTTGGGTGTACCCATTTCCTCAGCAACTCTATGCCCTATGCCTGGCAAGGCCAAGGACACCGTCAACAATATGAGAATTTTTGAGGTTTTATTGTAAAACAGAGCTGAAGTCACAAGGAGTAGGGAACTTTCCACCCAACACATACAGTGCACATTCACTGAGTACCTACCAAGGGCAGGCCACGTACTCAGTCCTGCAGGGACCTGAGATACATATAAATCATGTTCCCTGCTCAAGCCAGAGCTCACAGCCTGGCGGAGGAGACTCCTACAAGTCTCAGAGTGTCAGAAGTGCTACAGTAGTCAAGACACAGTTCATCTCTCCCAGCAGAGGAGGAAAGGACTCTCAGGAGCCACATTTGCACAGTCCTTGGAAGCTGGGGGAGGTAAAAGCAGCTGTGAAAGATCTGGAGTGGAGAAGAAACTTGGGGCCTGGGCAGACAGGCCCAAATTATGTGAATGCATCAAAAGGAAAAAAAATTAGGAGCAATAACTTTCCATTTTTATAGGTTGGGACATAACAAAAATGAAGGGAGGAAGAAGGAAAAGCTACCATTTACTTTCAGCGTCATTTCACAAAAGCAGGAATATTTTAATTCCCCAGTTCCTCCTAGGAAGAACATACTCTTCAAATGAAGGACTCGTCTTCATATTGAATAAAGGTCTTAATTAAAAAGGACATGAAATTCTTAATTTGCATTTTCCACACACCCTTAAAAACCTCCACATTGACCGGCATTCTTTTGTAAAACAGGGTGTGGAATCCACTTGCAGGAGGGATGTCAGTGAATGGCCAGATGGGGCAGGAGAGGAGGAAGGGGAGAGGAGAGCAGAGGGAGTCTAGGCTGGGCAAGTGGCCTGGATTTTATCCTAAATGAAGAGGCAACATGGAAGGGCTTTGGGCAGGGGGCTGCCGTGCTCTGATTTGCATGTTGGAATGACCATTCTGGAGGCACCATGTAGGTCAGTTGAGGAGGCTGGAGTCAGAGTCCTGTGACCAGGACTCTTGTGCCTGCTTTTGAAGGTCTACCCACAATGGCTGCTCCTCAGTGTCCCTGTGGCAAGGAGCCCTGGGGCAGTCCTGTCATCACTGCTGAGCTGGGAATGAGGAAGGACAGGCCTGGGCAGTACTACTCGTCCTGCTGGAAGTAAAACTTGGTGACCATGACGGCCTCGTCAGGCACATTGGTGAGGCTAACAGGCTGGTCGGCTTCCAATGCTGTGCAGAGGTACCAGCCTGGGCAGGCAGCCGACTCGAAGCTGGTAGTGGGGCCGCTGTCTGAGCGGATGAAGGTGAAACGCTTGTCCTGCTTTCTGTTCTTGCTCAGGTCAGTGATGTTAACTGCCTGGAAACCAAGAGATAAGCAAGTGAGAACTGAAGCCTGGGAAGTCCCACACTGCCACCTCTCTGTCCCCTACCATGCCATGGTCCTCAGGCCAGCCCACTGCCAGGAGACCCTGAGCCCCAGGTTTCTTAGAACAACAACAATACAAAGAGGTATCCCATTGTCATACCTTGACTTTGGGAAATCTGGCCTCTCTGGTCATAGACCAGCAAGTCTGGTAACCACATGGCATTGTTAGCAGGCCCTGGTGTTCTGTCAGGGTCTAAGCCTCCGAGGAGAGGGGGTCATGGAGAAGCTGAACAGAGAGGCTCACAGCTCATTCACATGATCCATGCAATATTCTGGCCATTGCCACTCCACCCAGAACAGGCACTTACCCTCCAAAACAGTGTCCCTGTCCACCCCTGGAGGGATGTGACAGTGCCATAGTATGGCCACCCACATTGGGTATGGTCATGTCCAACAAGACCCTGAGGCAAAGCTGTCTTTTTCTGAGGCTGGGCAGCCTATTAGTATTGCATAGGGTCAAAGAGTACAGGGCCCAAGATGAGACGCCAACTAATAGATGTGAGCAGATATAGATTGAAAGAGAAAAGCTCTAAGGGCTGGCTTTGCTGGAAGAAGGCAGGTCCCAGTGGGTTGGCAGCCCTTGAGGAAGGGAATGGCACAGTATGATTCAGGCCCTGTGGTAGACTGCTATGGTAGTGGCCACCAGTGACTATACCTCCTAGTTCCCTCCACATGAGTCTAGACTTAGTCACTTGACCAGCTTTGGCCGATAGGGTGATGCATGTAGAAGTTTAGCAAGCACTTGTACATTGAGACTTGACTTTTTGAAATGATCCCCCTTGGAAGCCATACTCCATGCTGTAAGAAAGCTCATGCTGATTCCTGCATGCTGAGAGACTCTGAAGGATGGGAAACCATCTTGGACACCCCAGCACGACTTAAGTGCCCTAATGAATGCAGCTGCAGGAGTGATCCCAGAGCCTTCCACTGTGTGGAATAGAACTGCCCAGCTGTTCCTAGTCAGCTCAAAGAATCACAAGAACAAATTGTGGTGGTTTTAAGGCACTGGGTTTTGGGGTAACTTGATACCTGAAACAGGTCCTTACCTCCAGTTGGAGTTTGGTCTCATCACCAGACTTGACACATGACAGGCACAGCTTCCCTCCATGGATCCCCAGGAACAGAGTATGGGGCTCGATGGGCACCACATCTATCTTTTCTGGGGAAGAGCAGAGGGCAAGGGAGGGTTAATAGAGAGAAGAGGAGGGAGAGGTGGTGAAGAGACCCTGGGTATTTTTCTCTCTCCCTCCTTCCTCCAAAACTAAAACCCTAAAGCCAGGAGGACAACAAGGCCCCATATTCCTAGTCAGCATCCATGCAGATCAAACCAAGCACACTATCTAGTTATTTCTGAGGGACTGGGTCTCCTAGATTCTGGTCCACATGACTTCCATCCTTCCCTCACTTTTCCCACTGTGCTCCAGGTCAACAGCTGTGCTGCCACAGGGCAGGGAACATGGCACACAAGCTCATGAGTGGGCCCCATAGAACTTTGAACCTCCTCTTCCTCTTAGAGGGCCCCATGCCCTCGTGTAGTAATCAAAAATCTCAGCCTCCCTGGGCTTCAGCATGTCTACTGGGAGAACTACCAGAGGAACAGGAAAGGTAGGTCTTGTACTCTTTCAAAGGGAGGCAGAGGGGAGAGAACAAGGGAACAGACAAGGGTGGAGAGATGGAGATAACATTATGCAACAGCACTATATAGGAAGTCGAAACATCCTAGAGGCCAGGACTGAAATAATTGTCCAGCTGCCGTCACCTTTCTCAAGGGAAAACTGAGGAATGAGGTGGGTGATGCTTAGCCAAGTTCATCCAGCTTGTTTAGAATGTGGACCAGAATATGGCTAAGTATGGTGTCCAGAAATAGGGAATATAGCCCAGCCTTATACATGGTGTACTATTTTGGAGTGGAGTTAGGATTTGAACAACACAGGAACACAGGAGGCTTAGGAGGCACAGGAGGGAGGGAAGGTCAAATATTGCCTTCTGGTCCCCGTGCCTCTCAGCGTTGCCCTGGGACCACTGTGCCTGTAGATGGCAGCTCCTAACCTAGACTCCACCTCTCCAACCCTCTTGAGGCTGTCCTCATAAGTGCCCTGTAGTGAGCAGACCTCTCTAGCTTCAAATTCAGGTACAAAAATCCAACAGAGATTAGAATGTTGCACCTGAGGTTTGTAGACTCAAGGGCAAAGTGACCTGACACCCACACAAGACTGTCTTTCTTGGCAACCACTCACCTTCTAATTTAGTATTTTTTCCTTGTAAGTATCCAGCAACTAGTTGGTTGTTCCTCAGGTAGAAGGTCTTCTGGTTAACATCCCAGATTCTGAAAAGCAAAAGAACCCAGCTTGTAGTAGACAGCCACTGGTGCCCAACCCTGTGCTCAGCACCTTCCTGCATCCCCCAGAGCTCATGGAATCCGTACCCACCTCTGCCCGGGGTGTGGTATTTTAGTGCACCCATGGCATGGATGAAAAGACTGAGACTGACTCACACAGCTAGTGAGCAGTGAGCCTGCATTCTACCCCTCTCCTCACCTTGCTTTTCATCTCTGATTCCCAGGACAAGCACCTTCTGTTTCAGTGAGGATCTGAATTTTTACTTTTCTTTGATTTTCATTCACTTAAATGTAAATTCCTCCACCTGAGATTCTTGGCTACCACAGCACAGCATGAGAAGTTTCAATGGACAGGGTACCTCGCAGCTAACTCACACCAAGAATTGGACCAGGAGTGTCTGTCCCTAGAACTTTTCTTCTGTCAACTGGTGACCTACTCTAGCTCCAATGGGGGCAAGTGTCCCTGGGAACACATCAGCTTCCTCTCTGGCTCACCCAGTGACCTGTTGGTGTCACTCAACCCTTCCTTCTTAGTAAAAGAACTTTCTTGCTAAGAGCGGGGCTTGAAGCTGTGAAATGGCATAAACAGAGCCCCAGCCATAGTGACCTGGGACCTGTGCCTCATCTCACCCGTGGAGGTGGCTAACCACATCCACCTTATCAGGTGACTCCAAGGAGCCCATGAGCTCAATAAGGGATGACTGAACAAACCTAAGTGCTTTGCATGTGTGAGCATTGACCCTACTCTGATTATCCCTGGTTTCTAGATGCATTTCAGTCCAAAGGAATTACAAGGACAACTCCTGGAGTTCCCAGCTGACCAGAGGAAACAGAGACAAACTCTGTGCAGTAGACAGTCCCCACATCTGGGAGTTGAAAGACCTGCTCACATCTCTCAGAGCCCGACCTGTAGTCTCAGGCCAGAAAAACTCAGAGGTCAGAGGAACATTACCCCAACATGACTTCACTGCCAGGTATTATAGGGCAGACAGCCTGCATAGATGGCACTCTCATTTCTATCAGCATCACAGCCTATCATTTTTACAAAAGTGATGGTCTCACAAAGCCCCGGATTCACAGTTCACAGAACACTGTTACATTATCATCTGTGCATCTAATTTTCACAACCACCTTGTAAAACACACAGGGAACCATAATGGACCTCATGTCACAGATAGGGAAACAGAGGTCCCAAGAGAATGGAATCCTGCAACATGTCAACACAGATAGGCATTGCTAACATCAGCTTGGGCCTTTGGGCTGTGCCCTACCCATGGTACCCCTCTCTGCCAGCACAGTCTGCCAGGCCTGAATCTCAGACTCACTACTTGGCACACGTCTATCCCCCACCAAGCTACCAGAGTCTCTGGAAAAGTAAGCCAGGCTGCTGGCCACGCTGCCCACATCTGGGATATTTTGAAATAAGCCCCGAAGGCTGTGCATGTAGCAGCCTCTTTTTTGAATAACAGACATCCCACATTCCTCTCCAGTCCAAACCCAGTTCTCAGGTCCTGCGGGGCCTCCCAGCAGACCAAGACGCTCATGCTGTGTCTCTACCTTCCAGCTAGTCTGTCGTCGTGCCCCCCACCCCCACCCCGCCGTAGCCTTACCTGAAAGCCTGCATCTTGCACGGTCTTTTCCCAGAGGGGCGGCAGGCTGTCTCTGAATGGAACAGAAAGAGGAGGAGAGAGATTAGGTGACCAGGGCTCCTGTAGATTTGCATTCTGTGGCCACAGCAAGGTAGTGGACTGCCATTGCGGGCCCAGAGTTGCTGCTTATAAAGAAATAGTCACTCACCGAAACAGGAGTCCCTTTGAGAAACGGAAATACCCTCCTCACATTTCCAAAAAGAGAAACCTTTGCTGTTGTCACTTTCAACCCCACTGAGTGTCGCAATGGGGTGTTGTAACTGATTCCCTCCCCCTTTTCCCCTGTGCAATTTCCCCAAAATTGAGATTTCTGTTTCCCCTTCATTGAGTTCCTGGGAAGGAGAAGCAGTGAAAACCAAACTCCCTCATTTGCCTGACAGGTGCCCTGAGACTGTTTGTTGACTGTTTAACAAACAGATTTGAGCAGAAATGTAACAAAGTCAAGCAATGGAGCTCCCAGCACACGGGTCAGTCTCATGTCACTTTGTGTTCTTTGAAGGAAGAATGGCCTTGGACTCTGAACCATAGATTGGCAAACATTCTGTAAAGAACAAAATAGTAAATATTTTAGTCTCTGTGGGCCATGTAGTCTCTGTTGTGATTACTTAAAACGGCTGCCATGGTTCACAAAAGCAGTCATAGGCAAGCTGTAAATCAACAAGCCCAACTGTGTTTCAATACAACTTTATTTACAAAAACAAGGGTGGACCGGATTTGGCCTGAGCCTGCTGATCTCTGTTCCAGAGTAAAGTGAGTTCTTTCTAAGAAGAGCTTTGAACAAACTCTCTTCCCGCCAACCCACATCTTTAAATTTATGTGTCAGGAATATGGACTGAACTCAGCTCAGCATTTGGATAGAAATGGGTCCAGATTCAAACTCTGCCACTTGCCATGTGCTATCCTCTTGACTTTGAGCAAAGTCATTTTATTTATTTGAGTCTCTGCCTCCTCATTCTCAGAATGAGGATGATCATGTCCTTCCCTCCAGGAAGGGAGGGAGGAAGAAAGGGGGAAAGGAATGAGGGAGGGAGGGAGGAAAGAAATTAAAGAGGGAAGAAGGAAGGGAGAGAGGGAGTGAGGAAGGGAAGGAGGGAAGGAAGGAGGGAAGGATAAAAGAGAGGACAGGAGAAAGGAAGGAAGGAAGGAAGGGGCAAGTTTCTGACCCATAATGCACACTAATTGACATTAACTTTTTCACAATATTCTGGACAGGTAGGGAAAAGGCAAGTATGTGCCTACTTTACAGATGGAAAAAAATTGAAGATGGTTTCTATGTGATCTACATACAGGATAGGTAATGCTGGTGTAGAAGCAGAGACTGTAGTGTTTTGGAGCTGGATGAGAGATAAGCTGTCATCCTGTCCTACCCAAGCATTGTTTTAAATGAGACTCATTAAGACCCAGAAAAAGAAAGACACCTGGCCAACGTCACATAAATTGTTGATGGCAAAGGTATGCAGAGAAATGCAGGTCTTCTGACCTGCAACACTGGGATATCCTCCTATAGCACTTGATCTTGATGAGTCTGACTCTATTTTCAACCGACAAATCAGAGTCTGTGTCCAAATGAGGGTTACATCCTTCAAAGGAGGGTGGCTATGAATGAATTTCCTGAATTTTTAAAGAGCTCCTCTTTCAGAGTAAATGGAACATTTCTGCAAAAAAAAAAAAAAAAAAGTATCACCTCCCTGGGTGACTTCTTTGACTGGCAAAATGGCTGTCACCATCTGCATCATCCTCACCACCTGTGTGACCTTGAATGAGTCATTCGCCCTCTTTGAAACACATTCGAGAAATAGTATCTCCCTTTGAGGAACCAGGGGACATTTTGCTTGTTCATTTATTTGTTTTTGTGAAATGAGGACTGGTTGAATGAGGCAATGTGTATGAACCTGTCTAGTTATTTGCCATTTCCAGAATTTATTGAATTAGAGCTTAACGTTTCTGAAGCATTTGTTAATAATCAGGTCCATAACTCTGTTAAGACATTCACTGAAAGGAAAGGCAGTCAGCAACCAGCTGCTGTGATAGGTTCTCTCTTATTCTATTTCTAAAGCCCTCCTGAACTTTCAAATCAGCATCCTCTCAAAAAATGTCCTTAAAAATTGAAGAAGAGAAGTGGCTTGCCCAGGTGGGACGGAGATTCTGTCCTGGCCACCACCCTCAGTAGCATTCCAAGCAAAAGTTCCACCCATATTGTGGCTCCTGAGTAAAAGTTTCTCTGACTCCAATCCAAATTCAGAGAGAACGATTTATCCTGGAAAACAGAAGCTCTGGGCTCCTAGAACTTCTGTAGTCTGCTCATGTCCCACTGTGCCCTGAGAAGTTGCTTTGTAAGGACTGGGGGGAGTCTGGAACCCAGGCTATGGAGTCTGTGTCTGAATCCTCCTGTGTCATTGATGTGCTGGGTCATTCCAGACAATGTATAGAGCCTGTCTTGGTCTCAGTTTCATTATCTGTTAGACAGAGCTAATAATAGAAGCCACGTCACGGGTTTCTACAAAGATTAAATAAGATACTGCACGGGATGTATCACGATCTAACCCTGGCACGTGGGAAATACGCAAAACAGTGGCTATTGGTATGCTTCTTTACCCAGATAAAGTGGAAAAGTCACAGTGCCCCTCTCTGCCCTGCACTCCGGGCCTCCCTACTCTGTGTACTGACCTGCCCTCCTTTCCCTGTCCAGTCCCAAGCCTGCTCTGACTCCAGAGGTGGGGGCTGTCACTCACTCTGCATTGGGGGGAGGAAGAAAGGGAAGAGGGGGAAGCTCCTCACGCTTCTGGCCACAATCCCACTCTTGGTTCTGTCTTATCTCACCAAAACAGTTGGTGTTCCTGTGATTTCTACCCACAGGAAATCTCTGACTAAACTTGTTCCCATTCTGGGTACTCAGTCCCTCACTTCATTTCCTGGATGAAGCTTCAGGATCGCACAGTAGACTCTGTTTCCCGGTCAGCACCTATGCCCTCCCTCTGAGTTTCTGGTCATCACAATCCCATCCACTGCTTTCCATGTGTTGAGCCCTGTGCTACTAGACAATAGCGACAACATAAAGGCCCACATAAAGAAAATTTGGTGAGGCAGAGAGAGAAACCAGGTTATCCATGTCTTAGGAGTGATAGTGCATGGCTGTAGGGAGACAAGTCTCCTGTCGATCTCTGCAGAGGAGTGAGCACTATGCCACCTACGTGGGAAGTGTTCAATAAATGTTCACTATTTCTCAATTCCACTTAATTGCATCTTTCACTTCTTGGTTCCTTTTTTGTATAGTTTCTAGTTCTCTGCCAAAATTTCCAGTCTTGTCCTTTAAATCTTTGAGCATATTCTCCACGGTTGCCTCTGACAACTCTATTAATTGAATTCCTGCTGGCTCTCCATCTAGTGTCTGCTTTTCCCATGTGCACAGGCCATCTTGCACATTTATGATTACTTTTTATTGACTGCTGGAGACTATATATTAAAAACTGTACAGGTTATTTGAGGCTCTGAGTGATGTTCTCTCTTTTTTTTTTTCTTTTAGATAGGGTCTCCCTCTGTCACTCAAGCTAGAGTTCAGTTGTAGCTCACTGCAAGCTCGCACTCTTGGACTCAAGCAATCCTTCTGTGTCAGAGTCCTGAGTAGCTGAGACTACAGGTGTAAACAACTGTGCCCTACCAATGTTATCTTTATCCTGAGACAATTCACTTTTGTTCCTGCTGGGCAGCTAGGCCAGGCGTGCTGCAGCCCCAGGTAACCTCTACCCACACAGGACTTGAGATCATTTCCAAACTGGTTGGGGCTTTTCAGGGCCCCTCATCCAAGGTAGGATATAAAGTACAAATTGCACCTCTCCCACCAAGTCCCGTGAGTTCTCCAATTTCAGCTGCAGTTCTTTGAAACCAGCAAATACTTCTAGGAGTAAAGGGCCCCAGTGCTGGGCTCCACCTCACTGGACTCCAACAATTCCTTACAGCTTTGGCCATTCTCTGATGCCTTCAAGCAGATTTTTTGGAAATTTAGACATTTTGCCCAACTTTTCTAATTATTCACAGTAGAGGATTGGCCTTAAACAACCCAGAGTGGAACCTGGTGTTATCTATTTTTTAAAAGTCTTATTATTCAGGATGGCTGGAGTTTGCATGGCATTTGGGGACAGGGGGAGGAGAAGTGATTGAAAAGTTAAGTGGGAGCCAGAGGAGGAATGGCCTTTAATACCATCCCCAAAGAGCTGGGAATTTATCTTAAAGAAAAGAAAAGCAGAGGGTGATGTTGTCAGATGCATTTTATTAAGATCATGTTGGGGACGGTGAACCTATGGGTTAGACTAGGATGGGATAACTAGGCCTGAAGGCAGGGCAGTGTTGTGCTGGTAAATGTTTAACAATTGGACCTCCCCCCAAAGGATAAAAACTCCTTCAACAGATGATTTCAAGGTTTGGACATGACATCACTAAATGGAGAGTTGAGAAAAATGCACCCAATCAGATCTTGTGGGCTCCAGCACCCCATAGAGGCAGAGAGGTTCAATCTTTCTAGAGGGAAATCGTCCCTACATTTCCCAACTCCAACCTCCCTCCTTAGCCCAAATGGCTCACTCCTCAAGTCTCAAGTTCCTTTTGCAGAAACAATCCTCACTGATAAATCCAGTTTGTCAGGAAACCTTAATGAATCTCAGTGCCTCCTGGAGCTGCATTTGTGCCTCCCAAGCACTATTTGTAAAGTGTAAGAATCCGGCTTGGAGTAGACAGATGCTCACTCTGCTTTGTAATGGCTTCATCTCATATTTAGGGTTTTCAGTCAATCTCTGAAATCCTGAGTGTCACAGCATACACCACACAACACAGGCAGTATTGCTCTTCAAACTTTGTAAATTTTTGCTAACGCAATGGCACAAAGACTCCAGTTGCTCTTTCTGGGTCATGGGTAAATGTATTATTACAAAGAAGAGGCAGAAGGACAAGAAATTCAGAACCCCTTTGTGTAATCTGAGGTCTTCTTTATGTCAGTCCCCACCTACCCAGCCCTTCTAGGTGGTTGAGTTAATTTTAACGAAATCCAGCAGCTTAGTAGGATCTCCCGACAGCAATAGGTCAGGTTCGGAGACAGCTGTCCTCCTGGGCATCTCTTCCCACCAAGCAGCTGCCTATAAGTGTGCCCATATTTGCTCTCCTGGCTGGTGAAGGGCAGTCAGGAGATGTGTATAATCCAACTGTTAACTATCTCTGCTCTACAAGAAGTTTGCTGCCCTACATATCTAAGTGATAAACTTCCTATGAATTCTTTCTGAGGTTCAGAGTCTTCCAAGATGGTTTTTGCAGTTTATGGGTTTAATATGGATCTGCACTGAAAGTCATTTTTCATCTGGCTATCGTTTGTTTTCAGAAGCACATGTTTGCTCTTGCCTTCTTGGCTCTGATGATTAGCTGTATAATCTCGCTGCAGGCAGGAGGAGAGGGAGCACAGAAGCTCTGGGGGAAGGGACAACTATATCCCTTGCCTGCTGTGTTTTAGGCTCTGTGTTACACTTTCATACAGATCTCTTCTAGTCCTCAAAACAACTGTGCAAGGCGGACATATTGACACCCACTTTCAAAATTTTTATATACTCATAGCTCCTTTATAGAAAAGCTCAAGGTTCAGAAAGTTGAAATTACTTGCCCCAGATCCTAGAAAAACCAGAAAGATTATTATTTCCCACACTACAGACCTGCTGAAGAGGCAGCAGACATGTTTCCTCTCTGCTTAATTGTATGGCTAGCAGAAACAAGAATTATATTTGTTCTTAGGGTATTTCTTTTGGTCTGAACTCATATCTCATAGAGCAATTATTTAGTTCATAAAACCTGGGGAGGTTTTTTGGTAGTAAAGAAAGAAATGAGCCAGGCTCGGTGGCTCAGCCTGTAATCCCGTGCCTTTGGGAGGCTGAGGTGAGTGGATTGCCTGAGCCCGCGGGTTCGAGACCCGCCTGGGCGACTTGGCGAGACCTCATCTCTACAATAAATCAAAAAATCAGCTGGGCGTGGTAGCGCATGCCTGTAATTCCGGCTACTTGGAAGGCTGAAGCGGAAGTATCGCCGGAGCCCAGCAGGCCAGGCTGCGGTGGCCGGGAGTGGCTACTGCACTCCAGTCTGGGCAACCGAGTGAGACTCCAACTCAAAAAAAAAAAAAGAAATGATTCTAAAACCTTAGCTTACAGGGAAAGCTTTTTACCTGGTTATGGTAATTGCCCTGGTTTGTCCAGAACTTTCTTGGCTTTATTACTGAAAATTGCACATCTCAGCAAACTCCCCAGTCCCTAAAAAACTGGGATAATTGGTTACTCTAAATTTGAACACTTAAAAGGCACTGGTGCCTCTGGTGGCTGATGCCACAAATTACAGGCACAATTAAATAAATGTTCATCATTGTACCTTGCCAGTTCAGCCTATTTTTATTGGCAGAAATGTGATTCATTTTACTAGATAGACATGCATTTTATTATCTAGATATACATACATACATACATACATACAGACAGACAGGTAGACATCAGTCACACAAGAGTATCCAAAGTCTTAGTGAGTCTGCCACTCAGGAAAGAAACTATAGCAAATAAAATATGATCATTCACTTTTATTCTGATCAAGAGCCCTATTTTCTTTTTGGCAAATGCTGATACTCCTGGCTGTAGATGGAGAATTTGCTTCCACCTCCCAGAAAGTGTGGTGTTTTCAAAGGGCTTACTTGTGTTTGATTCCTGAATTCAATTCAATTCAAGTTCACGCACATTTATTTGGCACCTACCATGTGCCATTTCAAAATATTTTGGAATGAACCATTGTTAAGCATAGCGATTTCTTTACAATATATCACTATTTGGTTCTGAGAGTGGTGCCAGCATTCTACATTTGAAAAGTATATAAGACCATGGGATAACCTTTTAACACAACCCAGTAGAGTCTGTACCCATTGGGAGAAAGGGGAGGATCCATTGCCATTGGAATAACTGCTTGTGGTTTATAAAGCAATTCACCCTTCATGATTTCATTCAGTATCTGTGTCCCATAAGAGTGTAGTGGTTTGAAGATAGACTGTCCGAAGTCAACCTCAACTTCTCTCCTGGCTGTCTGGCTTTGGACAAATTACCTAATCTCTCTGTGTCCATTTCCTCTTCTAAAAATGTGAGTAATGATAGTCCTTCCTTTTAATTGCTTGCTTTTTTTGTTTCATTTAATCGGAATACTACATATAATAAAACCAGAATATGACTCTTCTTGAAAAATCAGAAGTTCAGGCTACCTGAACCTCCCTGTCCTACCCTTAGACTAGGGGGTTGCTGGAAGGATGAATAAAATACAGACTGTAAATGCTTTATAAATTGTCTTATGATAAAAATCTGCTGGAACTGACTAATGCCAAGCCCTTAATTCTCCACAGTCCCCACCCTTCCCTATCACCTCTCAGACCCCGTGGCCCTGTGCCAGATTCTATTAGCATTTCTCATTGAGCTCACACCATTCTTTCCCTCATTTTACAGAGATATTTCTCTAATTTCCTTGCTTCTAACAAACCATGGAAAATAACCAACAGACACCAAGGACTCCATGACTTTTCTCACAGCAGGTACATCCCTCTGTTTACATGCTGGCATAGCAGACATTAGGCTTGCAGCCCTTGCCTCAGAACACCTGCGTGGTCTCCCATGGAGACTGTGACCTCCCAGTGCCTGGGTTTCCCATACAGGTCTGGAGCACTATGCGCTTGACATTGATGCTTGCCATCAGAATCTGAAAGCCTTGGTAAACCCTAGTGGTAGACATTTTCATCTCCCATATTTTTCAAATGGAAAAGTAAGAGTGGAAAGAGCTTACCTAAAGCCATGGGGAGAGCCTGATAGAATACAAGGTGTTCCGAGGTCTTCCAACCTCTGGCTCCAGATTCAGCTGCTGCATATAAAGAAGCATTCTGGCTGCACCTGGGCCACAGCACCTCCCAGGGTGGAGCTGTCCCTCCTTCCCCAGCACCTAGGAGAGTTGAAGGAGGAACTTGGCCTCCCCGCCCACACACGTACACAGTGCCGGCCAGCCCAAGGAGGTGGGCAGGCTGACTGCTGACCTGATGCCAAGCCAGGCCTAGCTTCCAGAACGGTGACTCAGGCTAGCAGAAACCAAACTGGTTCTTATTTACGTAAAACTGGAGGTCATATGTAGGGAACTGAGCTGGGCCTTTGTGCCCACCGAACCCCACCTGCCACTAGCCCATGCATGCATGCATACATTCATCCCAAAACTGTCCTGGTTTAATCCTGTGTGGTGGTCACTCTTCCAGGAATTGGGAATGAGTCAGATAAGGTCCCAAATATTCTAATGAAAGAAAGCAGACAAAAAACAAGTTAACACACGAACCAACTTCATAGGATAGTAAATCGTATAGGAGAAATAAAAAGCAAGACAGGCTTTTGAGGGACCTAGGAATGGATGGCTATTGCAGTGAAAGTAGCCAGGGAAGGCCTGTGTGAGAGGGTGACATTGGAACAGAGACCTGAGGTATAATACCTGGTGGCCAAGGAAGGGGAAGAATATCCCCAGGTGAATGGAACAGCAAGAGTAAAGGCCTTTGGGTGGAGATTCTCTTAGTGTGTTTGAACACCTGGAGGTTATAGCTTAGGGAGAAATGAGGTGTCCAGCTCCAAAGCTGACCTCTGCTGTGACACTGTCCATGAAGCCAGATACTCTCCCCCCACTTTCTCTGGAACCACCTGATGTTTAAACACTTCTCCTCCCCTTTGCCATTCAGAACTGACCTGCTCTAGCTTCATGCCTCTGCACCTGCCATCAGGGAGCAGACAACTCATGGATGCTTAAGACTCTCAGGCTGATGCTTGCAGAACAGTGGCAAAGGCTTCCCAGGTAGGCTGAAGTCCTGGGTCTGGGCCCCAGGCCTGCAGCCAACCATGTGGGTCTGGGCACACCATTTCTGCCCCTGGGCCTCAATTTGACAATTGCAAAATAGCTCTGATGCTCCTTGTCCTACCTTAGACTAGGGAGTTGCTGGAGGTATGAATGAAACACAGACTATAAAATGCTTTACAAAGTGTGTGCATTTAAGTAGGGCCTTGTTGCAGGCAATGCCTCAAGATAAAGGAGAGAGTAAGAGGCAGACCAGCCTAATGGCTGCCCTGGACCCTGCCACTTTCAATCTGTCTCTTCTGATGGAGAAAGACAGTTTTCCTTTGCTTGCAGAAGAGTTCATAATTCATAAACTTCTCAATGGGGAGCTGGTAGGGATCCTACAGCTTCTCTTAACCCTGTAGAGGCCTGAACTCATTCCCAGGATCCTTTCATCCAACACACATGGCCTGATTGGGACTGGAAGGTGCAGAGAGCTCCGACAGGAAAGGTGCTGGTCGGGGTGCTCCCAACCACAGGGACTTCCCATGAGGCTCTCACTTCCTGCTCTCTTCCTCCTTGGCTCACCAAGCTAGAATGCCAAGGTTTCTAAGGCTTGGCTGGGAATTTCTGAGCAGCTTTTGTAGAGAAATGCCTGTTGGCTAAAGAATCAGGAACTAAATTTGTAAACCTGGAAACTTTGTAAACATCAACTTTGTAAACCTAGAAAGTTGGTCATTGGAGCTGCCTGGAAACTGGCCAGGGCAGCCTGTCTTGTCAACATAGTGTTCTGCTTATTTATTATGACAACAGAAGAAGGATGCGGTGAGGTGGCCTCTGGTGGTCAGAGGTTCAAATCTTAGCCTCATGAACTACAGCTGTGTGATCTTGGCAACATCTGTAAAAAGAGGGTAAGACTATTACCCACCTCATGGCATTTTTGTGAGGACTGAGCTCACAAATGTAAGGTACTTGGAATATTGTCAGCATGATTTAAATATTAGCCATTATTTTCACAGGTTTGGGGTTGAATTCCATCCCTGGGGACCCAGGGACCTGAGTAGCCTGGGGTCAGTCATGTGAGAGCTAACTAGGCTGGCAGTCAGGACCAGATTGCAAGTTGATCAGCACACAAGACTGGGGATTCCCTGGAGGCCCCAACACTGGGCACATATAGGGTGAAGGGGCCATTTATAAGCATCACTAATCCCCCAGTGCCTGGCCCACCGCAGAACTCTCCTTTCCAGGCCCATCTACTTCTCTTCCAAGGCTGCAAATCTCTGAGGGGACAAGTGACTTGGCCTAAGGTGCTCAGTGCCTCTGAGAAGCATGGAGTCCAATATCCCTGAGATGGAGAAGACTGAGAGCAGAAGACTCCCAGAAGATTGAGAGAGCTGGCATTGAAGAACTTGGCAATTCCAGGTGGCTGGGGACCCTTGGCCCCTGAGTGAGGGGAAGGCTTCTAAAGAATGCTGAGGTGCTCGAATCCCAGTGATGGTAACTGACCACTCACTCCAGCACTGTCTTGCCAGCCCTGGCTGTGGGTAAGAAGAAAGGATGGGAAGAAGAAAGGGCAGAGGTAGAAGTTAGCAACGGGGAAGCATCAGGAATGAAAGAGTGAGATATTAAGGTTTAATGTTATTAGTATCCCTCTCTTCTATTGAGACAGTCCCCCGACCCCCCCAGGTGAGGTCCTCTGGCAGAAGAGACCCCAAGGATTTCAAAGGGAAGTCCTACTGTGGGAATAAAGTCAACCACAAGCCGGGTTCAAGTTCAATGGCAGGGCCCCTGTGTACTGTGGGAAGACTAAGAACTTGGGTGAATCCCTTCATTGCAACTAGGGGAGGAGGAGGCAGCACTACCTACTTCCTGCTAGTTTATGCACATGAGGCCAGAGCAGTGAATCTGAGGTTTGAAAAGAAGTAGGATCACTTTTATAATACTGATGTCTATAAATCCTTGTAGTCACAGAAAAACCATAAAGTTTTTACAGAGTCCATAAAAGATTGCCTGGCCTGGCTCTAAACTCAACTTGTAGAACAACCCTTTTTGTTCTCTGAACTCCAACCACACCATCCTTCTTTTGGTTCCTCAAATTCACCTCTTCCTCCCACCCCAGGACCTTAATACAGTCTAATCCTCTTTGTGGAACACCCTTCTCCTACTCACTCCACTGACTAGTCAACTATCTCACCCTTAAGATCTCAGCTCAGATGCTGCATTTGTGTGATCCTCTGTATATTATCTGCCTTCCTGGGCAAGTCACAGCAAGAACTGGACCATGTCTGTTTTTTTCACCATTGTATCCCCAGCTCATAGCCCAGGACTTGGCCCATAGAAAGATGAATGGGAAACCAATACATATTCTCTCTCTCTCTCTCTCGTTCTCTCGCGTGCGGGTCTTCATCTCCCCCCTCCCTCCCTCTCTCTCACCCACATACACACTCATACATCCCTTTAGAAAAATAAAACTCCTGAGTGTAACTTCATAAGTTGTTACACATTGAAACATACAAGTTCACATCAATTAAGCTCAAGATATGCAGACTCTGCTTAACCCATGATCCACACTCTTCTGGGGACTACCTCCATTAACACCACAATTCACACAGAGCCAGTCAGATATATACCTGACCTTGTCCCAGGGCACAACTGGTTAGACCAGTGGTGGGCAACTCCTTCACATGAATCCACTGTCAGTAATATAAAACTGGAGCTCAAAGGCCAGGAAGTATGTAATTGCTCTCAAACTGAGCATTCCTAAATCCATAGGCTTTAGAATGGCCATCTACTGCAGGTACACAGAGAAGCAGAGAAGGCCATTCTGCTAAGCAAGAACAAGCAGACAGACACAGAAATGCGAATACTGTGGCTGCCCTAATTTCTCATAATTTTTCCTGTTCCCAGTTAGCATCTCTTGTGAGACTTGTTTGCACTTCCTGTCACTGTGTCACAGCTCACAAACTCTCCATTATAGCGGAAGCTAGCTCAAGCATGTCTGTCTCTTGCAACCAAAGTCTTACTTAAATAATTCCAGAAACCAGTAGGCAACACATAAAGAAACTGAGGAGTCAATAAAAATGAAAACACAGAAGAGGAAGACTCCAGTAAGGCCCAGGTTAACAAGTGTGAGGAATTCTTTGCTACCTCAGCATAGTACATTCCAGGGCACAAAGTCCATTGACATGAATTTGCTGGTTCAATAGCACATGTTTGAGGTTTTACCTCCCCAGCACCTTGCCTCAAGTTGGGGAGCAATGCCTCCTTTTTTTACTCTAACCAACTTTAAGCCACTTTATTGAGGTATGATTGACATATGAAAACTGCACATACTTAATATATACATTTTTATTAGTTTGGGGATAAGTGTACACCCGTGAAACCATCACAACTGGGGCCATTAACATATCCATCACCTCCCAAAGTTTCCTCCAGTCCCTTTTTTCCTTTTCTTATTTTTGGTAAGAACATGTAACATAAGATCTACTCTTTTAGCAATTTTAACTGTAAAATACAATGTTGTTAGCAATAGAAATTATGTTATATAATAGCTCTCCACAACTTATTTATCTTGCATGACTGAAACTTTACACCATTTAGCCATCACTTCTCATTTCCTCTTTTCCCAGCCCCTGACAGCCACCGTTCTACTTTCTTCTTAAAGTTTGACTATTTTAGATTTCACATGTAAATGAGATTATGCAGTATATGTCTTCTTGTGTCTGTCTTAAACTGATAAGAACAGATACTACACTTGATCTTAGCCAAGATGCCGAAAAGCGATTTTGTGTCTATCTTATTTCACTTAGTATAATTCCCTCCAGGTCCATCCATGTCATCACAAATGGCAGGATTCCTTTTTTTTCTTAAAGCTGAATAATTCTCCAGTATATGTATACCACAATTTATTTATCCATTCATCTGGCAATTTAGAATTTAAGTTGTTTCCACATCTTGTCTATTGTGAATAATATTGCAAACACTCCAACCAGCTTACCCCATCCTCAGCCACAGTACATTGTGTACATAACCCAACCAAGACTAATCTCAATCTATTTTATGTTGTTCAAGCTGAAACTGAAGGAAGAGGAGCAGTTTCTCTTCCTTTTGTCAGCGGCAA